GATTATTCGAGTTATCAATTTTTTTTTAATTCAAAATTTTTCAATTGTTCAATTAAAAATTTTTCAATATCTCGATCACTTTTTTGATGGTTCTATTTCTCAATTTTTCTATCAATATCGCTGAAAATTAATTTAATGTTAAATTCAAAAGATTAAAACGTTTTAATTTTACACTTCTCGATTTTTCGATTTCTCGATGTTTCGATTTTCGATTCCGCGGTTTTTCGAGTTTCCGACTTTTCGGCTTTTTGATTTTCCAATTTTTCGATGTTTAGATTTTTCAGATTTTCAATTTCCAAATTGTCATCTTTGTTCTAGAATTTTGCAATTTCTTGATTTTTCAATTTTCTAATTCTTTAATTTTCAGATTTTTTAATTTTTCGTTTTTTTAAATTTTGCATTTTTCAAATTTTCGTTTCTTCAATTTCTCTTCATTTTTTCAATTTTTTCATATTCCAGTTTTAGGATTTTTTAATTCTTCAATTTTTCGATGTTTTTAATTTTTCAATTTTTCAGTTCTTCGACATTTCTATTTTTCAATTTTTCGAATTTTTAAATTTTCGATTTTTCACCTTTTCGATTATTGGAGTTATCGATTTTTTTTTAATTCAAAATTTTTCAATTTTTCAATTAAAAATTTTTCAATATCCCGATTTTTCCATTTGTCAGTTTTTTTGATGGTTCTATTTCTCAATTTTTCGATCAATATCGCTGAAAATTAATTTAATTTTAAATTAAAAAATTTAAAATATTTTAATTTTACACTTCTCGATTTTTCGATTTTCGATTTCGCGGTTTTTGGAGTTTCCGACTTTTCTGCTTTTTGAGTTTCCAATTTTTCGATGTTTTGATTTTTCAGATTTTCGCCTTCCAAATTTTCATCTCTGCTTTAGAATTTTTTAATTTCTTGATTTTTCAATTTTTTAATTTTGCGTTTTTTTAAATTTTGCATTTTTCAATTTTTCGTTTCTTTAATTTTTCTTCGATTTTTCAATTTTTCCATATTCCAGTTTTAGGATTTTTAATTCTTCAATTTTTCGATATTTTTAATTTTTCAATTTTTAAAATTTTAGGTTTTTTGATTTCTCGATTTTTCAATTTTTCAGTTCTTCGATTTTTCACCTTTTCCTTTATTAGAGTTATCGATTTTTTATTTAATTCAAAATTTTTCAATATCTCGATTTTTCGATTTTTCAGTTTTTTGATGGTTCTATTTCTCAATTTTTCGATCAATATCGCTGAAAATTAATTTAATTTTAAATTAAAAAATTTAAAATATTTTAATTTTACACTTCTCGATTTTTCGATTTCTGGATGTTCCGATTTTCGATTCCGCGGTTTTTGGATTTTCCGTCTTTTCGGCTTTTTCGATGTTTAGATTTTTCAGATTTTCAATTTCCAAATTGTCATCTTTGTTCTAGAATTTTGCAATTTCTTGATTTTTCAATTTTTTAATTCTTTAATTTTCAGATTTTTTAATTTTTCGTTTTTTTAAATTTTGCATTTTTCAAATTTTCGTTTCTTCAGTTTCTCTTCGATTTTTCAATTTTTTCATATTCCTGTTTTAGGATTTTTTAATTCTTCAATTTTTCGATGTTTTTAATTTTTCAATTTTTAAAATTATAGATTCTTTGATTTCTCGATTTTTCAATTTTTCAGTTCTTCGACATTTCTATTTTTCAATTTTTAGAATTTTTAAATTTTCGATTTTTCACCTTTTCGATTATTCGAGTTATCGATTTTTTTTTAATTCAAAATTTTTCAATTTTTCAATTAAAAATATTTCAATATCTCGATTTTTCGATTTTTCAGACTTTTGATGGTTCTATTTCTCAATTTTTGGATCAGTAACGCTGAAAGTTAATTTAATTTTAAATTAAAAAAATTAAAACGTTTTAATTTTACACTTCTCGATGTTTCGATTTTCGATTCCGCGGTTTTTGGAGTTTTCGACTTTTCGGCTTTTTGATTTTCCAATTTTTCGATGTTTAGATTTTTCAAATTTTCGATTTCCAAATTTTCATCTTTGTTTTAGAATTTTTCAATTTCTTGATTTTTCAATTTCTTAATTCTTTAATTTTCAGATTTTTTAATTTTTCATTTTTTTAAATTTTTCATTTTTCAAATTTTCGTTTCTTCAATTTCTCTTCGTTTTTTCAATTTTTTCATATTCCAGTTTTAGGATTTTTTAATTCTTCAATTTTTCGATGTTTTTAATTTTTCAATTTTTAAAATTTTAGATTTTTTGATTTGTCGATTTTTCAATTTTTCAGTTCTTCGACGTTTCTATTTTTCAATTTTTCGAATTTTTAAATTTTCGATTTTTCATCTTTTCCATTATTAGTTATAGTTATCGATTTTTTTTAATTCCAAATTTTTCAATTTTTCAATTAAAAAATTTTTCAAAATCTCGATTTTTCAGTTTTTTGATGGTTCTATTTCTCAATTTTTCGATCAATATCGCTGAAAATTAATTTAATTTTAAATTAAAAAAATTAAAATGTTTTAATTTTACACTTCTCGATTTTTCGATTTCTTGATGTTTCGATTTTCGATTTCGCGGTTTTTGGAGTTTCCGACTTTTCGGCTTTTTGATTCTTCAATTTTTCGATGTTTCAATTTTTTAGATTTTCGATTTTCAAATTTTCATTTCTGTTTTAGAATTTTTCAATTTCTTGATTTTACAATTTTTTAATTCTTTAATCTTCAGATTTTTTAATTTTTCGTTTTTTTAAATTTTGCATTTTTCAATTTTTCGTTTCTTCAATTTCTCTTCGATTTTTCAATTTTTTCATATTCCAGTTTTAGGATTTTTTTAATTCTTCAATTTTTCGATGTTTTTAATTTTTCAATTTTTAAAATTTTACATTTTTTGATTTCTCGATTTGTCAATTTTTCAGTTGTTCGACATTTCTATTTTTCAATTTTTCGAATTTTTAAATTTTCGATTTTTCACCTTTTCCATTATTAGAGTTATCGATTTTTTTTTAATTCCAAATTTTTCAATTTTTCAATTAAAAATTTTTCAATATCTCGATTTTTCGACTTTTCAGTTTTTTGATGGTTCTATTTCTCAATTTTTCGATCAGTATCGCTGAAAATTAATTTAATTTTAAAAAAGATTAAAACGTTTTAATTTTACACTTCTCGATTTTTCGATTTCTAGATGTTTCGATTTTCGACTCCGCGGTTTTTGGAGTTTCCGACTTTTCGGCTTTTTGATTTTCCAATTTTTCGATGTGTAGATTTTTCAGATTTTCGATTTCCAAATTTTCATCTTTGTTTTAGAATTTTTCAATTTCTTGATTTTTCAATTTTTTAATTCTTTAATTTTCAGATTTTTTAATTTTTCGTTTTTTTAAATTTTGCATTTTTCAAATTTTCGTTTCTTCAATTTCTCTTCGATTTTTCAATTTTTTCATATTAGTTTTAGGATTTTTTAATTCTTCAATTTTTCGATGTTTTTAATTTTTCAATTTTTCAATTTTTCGAATTTTTAAATTTTCGATTTTTCACCTTTTCCATTATTAGAATTATCGATTTTTTTTTAATTCCAAATTTTTCAATTTTTCAATTAAAAATTTTTCAATATTTCGATTTTTCGATTTTTCAGTTTTTTGATGGTTCTATTTCTCAATTTTTCGATCAATATCGTTGAAAATTAATTTAATTATAAATTAAAAAGATTAAAACGTTTTAATTTTACACTTCTCGATTTTTCGATTTCTCGATGTTTCGACTTTCGATTCCCCGGTTTTTGGAGTTTCCGACTTTTCGGCTTTTTGATTTTCCAATTTTTCGATGTTTAGATTTTTCAGATTTTCGATTTCCAAATTGTCATCTTTGTTTTAGAATTTGTCAATTTCTAGATTTTTCAATTTTTTGATTCTTTAATTTTCAGATTTTTTGTTTTTTCTTTTCTTTAAATTTTGTATTTTTCAAGTTTTCGATATTCCAGTTTTAGGATTTTTTAATTCTTCAATTTTTCGATATTTTTAATTTTTCAATTTTTAAAATTTTAGGTTTTTTGATTTCTCGATTTTTCAATTTTTGAGTTCTTCGATCTTTAAATTTTGCGACTTCTCAATTTTAGATTTTTAATTTTTTCAATTTTAAACTTTTTCATTGTTCGATTTTTCAATTCTTTAATTTTTCAATTTATCGAAAACAAGGTCGAGCTTCAGTTCAACTGATTTTGTGTGCTTAACATAATTTCTAAAATTTCGTTGCACAATTTTGATTTTTTTCACAGAGTTTAGATAGGATTTCCCACCAAAATTTTTAGATGACGTGATCAAATTTGTGAAAAGAAAAAACAAATAAATTTTGATTATCGAATTACTATTTTTACGATAACTTTAAAATGTTTTCAAGATTTTAGAACAGTGGGTTTTATATTTTCTAAAATAAATGTTTAAGTTTTCTTGTATCATTTTGAATTATTTCCAAAAATCTGTATGTCCAAGGTAACAAATAAAGACTGATAATAAATCGCAAGTATACTAACATATTATTTTACAAAATTCAAGTAAGATTTATTTATGTCGGATAATATTTCATAAAATGTAAATAGCAATTTTTCAATTTTTGTCTCAAAAACTTGGATGTGTGTGGTAAAAAATAAAGGTGGATTCATAAACCACAAGTATACAAGTAAGTTATTTTATAAAATTTAAATACTTTTAAAAAACGTTTCTAAGGTTTTAGAACACCAGGTTTTATATTTTCTAAAATAAATTCTCAAATTTTCTTGTTATCATTGTGAATTTTTTCGACGAAAAAATTTTGTATGGGCTAGCTCTAGAAAGTAAAATTAACACTCAACGTTTAAGATTATTTCTTTTAAAAATATTAAGAATATATAAAAATAAAAATATTATCCTGAAATAGGTACAACATTTTGCTTAGACTACACTATTTACTTAAAATATGTACCCGTGTCTTTGTTTAATTTTCTAATAAATTACCCACCTTTCTCTAACCTTTCGTTGTTGTTTTAGGGTTTGGAGAGCTCCGAGCCCAGCCCTCCAATCCAGCCGCCCCCGAAGAACAACATCAGCAACAGCAAAGGGCCCACCTTCAGTACAAACAACAACACCGAATCCGTCAAGGAGCCCTCCGACTCGACCGCGCTGCAGGTGTTCGAGAACCGCAAGGCCCCCGAGGGCAAGGACAACGACTCGCTGCTGGAGAGCCTCGTCGACACCAAGGAGAACTCGTACACCACCGACGTCAACGGCAAGGTCACCGTGCACGTGGTGGTCACCATCAACGGCAACGGCACCCTCGCCGACCTGAAGAAGCAGCGCATGCAGATCAGGAACAACTCCTCGGACGTGAACAGCATCACCTCGCCCTTGGGCAGCATCACCGACGAGAGCTCCCCCAGCCCCGTCGCCGACATCGTCCGGTTCACCGGGGAGACGGCCGAGGAGAGCGTGGGCTACTCCAAGTCGAAGAGGTGCTGTGTCATCCAGTAACGCTAGACAGTATTAGGGTTTTTAATTGACTAGTTCGAAGCATACATTCCAAACTTGTGATAAGCATAATTTTGCCGAAGCGAAAATGTTGTACTTAATTTCATGTGATTGGTGTTCGTATTTTATAGACTTTCTTCCATTTTTGGAGCGCTATTATTAGTACTTATGTTTTATTGTAAGGTACTTATATTTCCATTTGTACTCCCTTTTGTATTTTTATTATGTGAGGAACTTGTTGGAGTCTTGTCGATTTGTTTTGTTGTTGGTAGACCACTATTCAGAAACCACAATATCAAAAGTGCCTATTTTGTCGAGTTCCATTTCTGACAAGTTTGTTGTAGGGAAGAAAAAGGCCTTTTTGTGAAACGAGGCCTTAGTGTTCAGTTGTTGCTTTTGAGATGAGATTCAAAGTAATTTATTCTACTGTTGATATTGGTTTGATTTGTTTTATTAAAAGTGTAAAGCAATAATTTTGTAAATACATTTGAGTGCAGAACATAGCCCAGAACTAATGTACATATTTTTAATTTGTTATTTATTCATAGGAGTAGAGGTAATTTAATTCTTATTTAAAACGTTTAGGCTTGTCATGTCAGACCACAAAATTGAGAAATATAATGAATTTTGTATCAAAATTTTCTTAGAATAAAATTTTATTTTGTTGTGTCAATTGTTGCCTTTCATTTGTGTTTCGCTACTTGAAAAAAAGACTTACATGCGAAGTTCATGTAGTAACGCCCACTACGGACTTCACATGAAGTCTTAATAGTTACCGCTGTTTAACTACTTTTCGCTATTCCAAAATGGTACCAGAACGTTATTAATGTGATAATTAAGCCATATATGCTAAGAAACGCAATCATGTAGAAGTAGTAATGTTTTAATTCCTGTTATTATAGATTTCTAGTAAGTAATTAGAGCTTAAACGGTAAGAAGAATTGTTCTATTTGTTGTTTTCGTTCCAACTAAACTGTTTTTTCTCTGATAAAATTACGTATTATTTGTGTATAACTTTTAGAGCAATAATCGTTTAAAAAATTAGAATGCGATCATCAACAAAACTTGTTGAGTTTCAAAATGATACAAATGTAAATGAAGGCGGAAAATCCGAGATTTCCAGAAGAGAACAAGCATCCAGAGAGTTTATTTTTCTTGGTTCTTCAGTTTTTAAATGAAGTATGAACCATCGTTTAATATAATTTAAAGAAAACAAGTCTCAATGCAGGGGTACATTGTGTGTGTTTAACTGGTTGCCTATCCACGTCGTGTGAAGTTATTAGCCTCATCTCGTTCCTTTTATTCTTGATTTAAAAATTCTGTGAATTGACAAACAATACAACAAAATCAACGCATCGTCAATTAATTAACTCTGTTACGTTCATCTATACTCGTTGAGGGTGTCTGCGGCGTCGAATGTAATTAAACAGTCTAATGTACCAATTTTTGGGATATACAAAAAATGTATTTTCATATCAAGTATTTTTGAAATCTTGCTCCGGGTGCATATACATGCTATATTTTTCGAATTAGCACGTCGATATCTATATCCCAGAATTTTTTGCAGATTTTAGAGAACTTTTTCAAAACCTCAAATTTCAATACTATCTACCTTATAAAAATTTACACATTTTTTTGAACAGCTGTGAAGGTCACGTAATGCGATTGTTCGTTGATTTCGAACTCCAGAAGCTATTTTCGGCCTCATTTCTTTCGAAAACTCCTACCATTCTTCCAGAATCGCCCACTGAAATGTGGTCTTTGTTTAGAATTTACAAAAATTAATTTTCAAACTGAAATCTTGATCCGTAATCATGAACACGCTATATTTTTCGAATCAGTACGTCGAGATCTAAATCAAGAATTTTTGCGGATTTTTGGACAAGTTTTTCAAAAACCCAATTTTTTCGTTTTTCCCCCAAACAAAAATTTCCATGTTTTTCGACAACCTTCAAAATTACCTACGGAGATTTTTTGTAGATTCGAACTTTAGAAGTCACTTCTAGATTTATTATTTTGAAAACTTGTACCATTTTTTCATAATCGCTCAATATAAAATTGAAATTTTACGATAAAAAAACTTGAAATTTAAATATTTCTTAAATTCTGCTCCGCCATTATGAACACACTGTATCTGTCGAATCAGCATGGCGAAATCTATGTCCCAGAATTTTTTGTGAATTCCTGGAACCTTTCGAACTTCTGAAATCTTTGAAATCAGATTTTTTTTAATCTTCGGTCTTCGAAATAACCAATCTTCAGAAACTTTAGAATCATTTGAATTCGTAGAATCCCTGGATACTCTAAATCTTTGGAATTTCTGGAATCTCTAGGGCCTCGAAATATACATAATTTTGAAATTTTTGAATCCTCTGGAACTTTTGGAATCTTTGAAATTTTTCGAATCTTCGGAATCTTTCAAGTCTACAGGTTTTTGGAATCTTCAATTTTTTAAATGCTGTCAATCTTCAGAATTGTCGGAATGTTTAAAATCTTAAGTATCTTTATTCAAAATCTTTACATTTTCCAAAATCTTTCGAATCTTTAGAGACTCCAAAATTTCCAAAGTCCCGTTGGAATATTTGTCATCTTAGAAATCATCAATTTTCAAATTTTTGTGAATTTTCAGTCTTCGAAATATTTGCAATCGTCAAAACCCAGGATCCTCAGAACCTCCAGAATTTTCAGAATCTTAGAATCTCTAGAATATTCCAAAGATTCTTTAAAATTTTTGGATTCTTCAGAGCCTTCACATTTCTTTGAAATCTTTAGCCTTTGAAATACTTAGAATCTTCAGAATCTTAAGACACTTTAGAACCTTCAGTAACTTTAGAATCTTTAGAAACCCGGAGTATCCGGAATATTTGGAACTTTGGGAATCTCTAGTCTTAGAATACACAGAATGTTTGAGGTTTCTGGAATACCTGGAACTTTTGGAGCCTTCAGTTTTTTACAAATGCTGTGAATTTTTAGAATTTTCGGAATTTTTAGAATTATCAAATTTTTAGGATTAAAATTTATTTTCAGGTCCAATATTTACAAAATATTGTTGTGAGATTACAAACACGCTATATTTCTCGACCACCTCGACATCTACATTCCAGAATTTTTTGTGGATTTTTGGAAGACTTTTTCAAAATATTGATTTCTATACTCCCTCCTTATGAAAATGTTGACCTTTCTTCGACCATCTTATAATTATTTGAAGAGATTTTTTTTTTATAGTTTCCGACTTCCAGAAGTTAGTTCTGACCTCATCACTTTTCGAGAATCGCTTAATCAATTGACAATTTTTTAGATTTATTAAAAAATAGATTTTCAAGCCGAATATTTTTAAATGATCCTCTCGAACCATATACACGCTACATTTTCGACCCTATTTCTTCGAAAACTTCTACCATTTTTCCGTAATCGCCTAATGAAAAATAGTAACACCTAATTTTTAGTATTAAAAAAAAAATACTCGTAACCCGAAAATTTTCAAAATTCTGCTCTGGGACTATAATATATTTTTAGAGAACTTTTCAAAAGCTTAGTTTTTCAATATCTGTAGTGACAATACATAAACGTTACAGTGTTATATAACTATTACAGTATAGTAACATTTCAAAAATATAACATACGTTAAATACAGTTTGCAGAAATTATTTTCGGCCTCTTTTCTTCGAAAATTTCTGCTAATTTTCCATAATCGCCCAATGAAAGCTTTCCAAATACTCAGAATTTTTAGAATATTCAGATTTATCAGTTATTGGAATTTTCAGAACCTCTAGAATTTTTCGAATTTTTGGAATTCCTAGAATCACTGGAACCTCAGAAATTGCTGAAACCTTTGAAACCTCTGAAATCTTTATATTCCTCAGAATCTTCGTAACTTCAAAGTTTTCAGATATTTTGGAATTTTCAGTCTTCGAAAATCCGAAACTTTAGAGTCTTCAAAAGCTTTAGACTTTGCAGAATTCCTGAATACTCTAAATCTTTGGAATTTCTGGAATCTCTAGGGGCTCGGAATATACGAAATTTTTAAAATTTCTGAAACCTCCGGAACTTTTGGAATCTTTGTAATTTTCTGAATCTTCGGAATCTTCAGATATTTGAAATCATCAATCTTTCAAATTCCTTCATTCTTCAGAATTGTCGGAATCTTTACAATCTTCCGTATCTTCAGAATCCTCAGAATCTTCAGAATTTTCAGAATCTCTGGAATCTTTAGAATTTTTGGAATCTTCAGGGACTTCAGATTTTTTTGAATTCTTTAAATTTTGACATACTTCTAGAATTTTCAGAATCTTACGACTCTTAGAATCTCCAGAAACTTTAGAATCTTTATAAACCGGGAGTATCCTCAAGATAATATGTGGAACTATCAAGGTATTATCAAGTTTTTAGGATTAAAATTTATTTTCAAGCCCAATATTTGCAAAATCTTGTTGTCACACTACAAACACGCTATATTTCTCGAATTACCACCTCGACATCTACATTCCAGAATTTTTTTGTGGATTTTTGGAAAACTTTTTCAAAACTATGAAAATGTTGACCCTTTTTTGATCATCTCTGAAAATCACCTAATGAGATTTTTTGCGATTTCCACAATCGCCCAATGAAATAAGCTTCTGAAATACTCGGAATCTTTAGGGTATTCAGATTCATCAGTTTTTGGAATTTTCAGAACCTTTAGGATCTCCAGAATCTTTCGAATATTTGGAATTCCTAGACTCTCTGGAACCTTTCGAACTTCTGAAATCTTTGAAATCAGATTGTTTGCAATCTTCAGTTTTCGAAATATCTAAATCGTCAGAAACTATACAATCTTCAAAATCTTTAGAATCCCTAGAATCTCCGAATATTCTAAATCTTTGGAAATTCTGGAATCTCTAGGGCCTCGAAATATACGCAAATTTTGAAATTTCGGAATCCTCAGGAACTTTTGGAATCTTTGTAATTTTCTGATTTTTCGGAATCTTTTAAGTCTTCAAATTTTTTGGAATCCTCAATCTTTCAACTACTGGCAATCCTCAGAATTGTCGGAATCTTTAGAATCTTCATTCAAAATCTTTAAATTCTCCAAAATCTTTCGAATCTTTAGAACCTCCAAAATTTCGAAAGTCGAGGACTATTCGGAATTTTTGTAATTTCTGGAACCGTTGGAATATTTGAAATCTTCCGAGATCTTCAATTTTAATTTTTTTTTTGGAATCCTCAGAACCTGCAGAATTTTCAGAATCTCTGGAATCTTTAGAATTTTTGGAATCTTCAGGGATTTCACATTTTTTTGAAATCTTTCACCACTGACATACTTTTAGAATCTTAGAATCTCCAGAAACTTTAGAATCTTTAGAAACCGGGAGTATCCTGAAGATAATATTTGGAACTTTTGGAATCTCAAGAGTCTTGGAATATACAGAATTTTTGAAGATTCTGGAATACCTGGAACTTTTGGAGTCTTCAAAGCCTTCAGTTTTTTACAAATACTGTAAATTTTCAGAATTATCGGAATTTTTAGAATCATCAAGTTTTTGGGATTAAAATTTATTTTCAAGCCCAATATTTGCAAAATCTTGTTGTGAGAGTACAAACACGCTATATTTCTCAAATTACCACCTCGACATCTACATTCCAGAATTTGTTTGTGGATTTTTGGAAAACTTTTTCAAAACTATGAAAATGTTG